CCACCTTTGCTATGTAGAAAACATGCACAGCAGGTACGTTCCTTTTTTTCCCCTGGCTGTGTCATCTTCAAACCTTTTCTCTTGTCTTGGGTTGTTTGAATTTCATCTTGCGCTTTTTTAATGTCTTTTTCTTCTTTGTGGTGGGAGGGGAAAAAAGAAGAGGTAGAAGCTACATTTTCTTTGCTTTTGGAGCTAAATCTAATGACAGCTGTACCGACAATTTTCTTCTGTGTTTACATGCAGCCAGGAGCTATGGGCGGAGAAGAGGTAAAAGTATTTACTAAATGTTTTGTCTGCTGAATAGTGGGAGAAATAAGTATTAGTTCTCTTATGATAAGATGATGTTACCCATTTTAATATTATTTGGTTGATCAATTGCTTCATAAAATCAGTCACATATTCTTATTTGCAAAACATCTCCCTTTTAATAGCAGCTTAAAGCTTGAACTAGTAACTTCAGGTGTGTTGCTGTCACTAGTGAACTGGAGGATGACTGAATGTAAAGACTGTTTTGTGACACACATTTATGATTTTAAATTCTTAGTGTTCCAAAATAGAAGATTGTTTTCCGTTTTGGTGGGTTTTTGTTGTTTGTTTTGCTTGGTTTTTGTTGTTTGTTTTTTTTTTCTCAGAAGTGCAATGTTTAACCAGTGCATTGAACCTTTCAAAAAACAACTTTTTTCTTAGATGAAACACCTTTTGCTGGATATTACACTTGAGTATCACATTGGATTGCCTTAGGTAGAACATTGTAAATACCAATTCTAATAACTGTCCAATGTTCACTGTAACAGCAAATATTTCTGGTAGTCATAATAAAAAAGATAAAACATTTCAGCACATTTTAACTTTATTTCATCATAGGCAACACTTCAAAAATAAAAGCAGACCAAAAACATTTTACAGATGTACATATAAGTTTATCCTGAGAGATGGATAAGAGCAAGCTCACTGACTACCAAGAAAACTGCTAACTTACATTTTTGCACTGTGCTGTAGCTTATCACAGACTGGTTTCTATTAGAAAGACAATGAAGACTGTAGCTTTTAACAGCTAGAGTTGGCCAGTGCTATCTGCTTGGGGTACTTCGGCATTAAACTTCTTTTTATCTTCTTTTTCATGTATGTTCTCTGACAGTTATGCATGTGACATGGCTTCCTTTTCAAAAAGTAGAATTTGCATTGTTTTTGTGAAGAAGCTTGCAGACAAACCTAGCCACACAAGCAAGCTGATAACATATAAGTAACTTGTAGTTTGCACATATGTATGGATTGAGGTAGTAGTCTGTACAGGGTGCATTAATGCAGCTTATAATACAGAATTTGAGATTATTTTGTTCAAAGCTGACTGGTTTTATGTTTATTTGATAGCTAAAACTAAAATATTTACACTTTTCCCACAAACTTACCTTCCTACTTTTCCCTGTTTCCAGAGACAGGCTATTGTTAACAGATGTTGAAAGCATTCTAATACTTGGACCTTTTCAGTGCTGTCATGGTACTGAAACAAAATGGAAACTGTGTGGAGTATTTAGTATTGTATGCTCTCTGTGCATGTGAACACTGTTTAATTTCATTTGAAGATTGTGGCGAGTGTTTGCATGTTGATCAAATGGCACAGAAGTAAGGAAGAAAGTGGGAGTCAGTTGGACTCAATGCATTAACTTCTTGCAACTCTTGTTTACTTGTAGAAGCAAAATATAGTAATGTGGCAGTAATTGCGATGAACACCGTGCAAGCTGTTTTATTCAAATTGCAGTGATGACAAAACAGGGCAAATAAGTTCTGAATGTGCTGGACTTTAAGAATTTTTTTTACTCTACCAAAAAGCATGTTTTGCACCATAATAATTATTTCCCTTTGTTAAATTCAGGCTGTTCTATAGTAACAAGTAGATTTGTGTGTGTGTGTGTGTGTGTGTCTCGTCATTCATGTTAGGGATTTTCTGACTTGTCTTATTCATACAATATTGAAGTTTGTTATATTCGTGCTTTTTTGTTACCTTGAATTCTGTAATGCTCTTTTGAGCTTTCTTAGCCTTAAGAAATATGAAATTCTACAATAGTCTGTTAAAAATGTGTTATTAAATGTTCACATGTATCCCTCTCTGTTATTGTTTTTACCGTTTGCATTGTGGTAATATGCAGAGTATCCAGAGGCAAATCTGTGCAGGGACTCATTTCATGTTTATTATACGTGGTTATTTTAATTAGTGTTTGATTCTGTCACTGTGACTAAGCATCATCAGTGAGAAGAGGTTTTGTCAGAAATTTCTGGGGGCTTACCATTACCTATCGCTTCCCTACCCGATCCCCTGTTTTCTTTCACTAAAAATGTGAGCATTTCTTTGTAGGTATCATGCTTAGAGTCTTTGAGTCATGTTATTTTAGGTACATTGTTTTTAACTTTTATAACCAGTTTTTCAGGTGCAGATGTAAGGACAGCTATGGGAAATCAGCCTAAAATCTGTTCTGCTACGCTGACAACTTTGAGATGTCAGTGGAGGAGCTCAAGAGTACAAAAATAGGGCATTTAGTGATGCTTTCCCATAATACTCTCCCAGAGATTTGCCTCTGAGGGTTTCTTGAGGTGATGACACAACATTTTTCTTCAGAATGGATTTTTCTCCTTTTCGTGCTCATTCCCTTTTCTGAACCTACATAAACTTTTCAGCATCCTAAAAACCTTGTGGCAAGGGGTCCCACAGTTTGAGTTGCTTTTGGCCCTGCCATTTACTGATTGTGCTCAATGCACTTTAGTTTCCCCTAAAAAGGAGGGGAAGGGGAAAGGGGATTGTTCACACAGTGAACAATGTCTTGTCTGTGTGCTTTCCATTATTGTGAATGTGTGTTTCATACATTTAACTCTATTTGACTTAACTATAAATTTTTGGATCATCTTTTGCATTTACTTAAGATGTGTACAGTGCTTGCAGACTGTCAAGCATCTGGCACAAGAGGCAGTATCTTGCTTTTTAAGCTGCTGTGCATTTTTTAAATTTCCTTCAGAGCTCAGCACTTATTCAGCCCCCTCAGTAGGCTGTATTTTAGCTGAACACCTTGTACCATTATCTATTAATTTGACATGTCAGCTTCCACTAATGCCTCACGTTTGAGGTTTTTTTGGTGGTTGTTTTTTTTTTCCTGTTTTTACAAGAAGATAGCTTGGGAGGGTAGAATTAAAGGATTATTTAGCTTCTTAGTAATGCAATTATCTTTAGAATATTTTCAAATTTCCTACTTTTTAATATGTTTTCTGCTTGGATGTTTTTATACAATTTCTCTCATGCCTGTGCTCTCTTTTATGCTGAAGTGCGTATTTTTATATATGTGCATGACTTATTTGTCCATTAATGGAATGGTCATTAGTAGTATTTCCTGGTTTATGCTCTAAACCCACCATTTCTCACAACCAGTTATACAGACTTTGAAGAGTAGTGTCTCTAAATCCTTCTCTGCTTGTGGCATTTACCTTGTTTTTTTATGTTGGTGCTTAAAAGCACAGTAGGATTTTAACTTCAGTGGATTTTTGCATCTGTGATCTCTGTCAACACTGTGCATTCAATGCATTCTTTCTAATCAAGACTTTTCTAGTGCCTGGTGTTCATAAAAAAATCAGGCTGGTGTTCTGCGTCAGTCAGGGTAACTTCCTTGGGTTTTGTTTTATATATATATGGTTGCTGCTGCTTTTTTTCCTTTACTACTGGAGACTCTATTACTGATATTTTCAGTGTATACATTTTTTAACTAGTGTCTCTCTGCTTGTCTTGATTTTTCTTCTTACTCTTATTTCTAGTACTTCCCTGTGCTGCTACTACCAGTATGGTATTAATTCTTCCTCAGGTCTTGCTGGAAGTCAGTTTCATGAGATCTATTACCTTTGAATTTCATTTTCTGTCCTGCTATTCATATTTGTAATTAAACCTCCTGTAAACTGTTTGTATCTATTAATTATAATCCCATGCCTCAAAGCAATCCTCCATGACATGAGGGGACAATTAGTCTTTTCAGAGATGAGACAGGGTTCCCATTTACACATCTTTCTACATTGCAGGATTTATTTTTCAACTCTTGTATAGGGAATTATTAAATTCTAAAGTTGGCATGTTCTATACTGCTGCTTACATACCGACTTTGAATATTTCTTTACATTATCTTCTGGGTTAGTAAATCTGTTCTTAAGATAATCTGTGTCTGTCAGTAATAGCAACAAGTTAATTGCATCAGATGATCATGAATTCTTTAACTGAATAGCAGTCATTTATGGTGCTTTTTGTTAATTCACTACTGAAAGGGTGTTTTAGCGTTGAGTAACAGCTTGACAGGCTTTCCTAGCTAACAACCTTTTTCTTCAAGCACAAGTTTTCTGTGGTTTATTTAGTAAGATATTGAAGGTGGGTTTTTTTTTTTTTCATGTTAGCTGAGCTTCTTGCTTCACCTACATGTTTTAATATCCACAATACAAAGCTTTTCTATGTTTATTTTGCTGTTTGCCTCCCTGCTCAGCCTGGGCCTCCATTCACTTAAGGAGGAAGTGGTGCAGCATTGTTGTTAAGACCCTGTAAAGCACTCTGAAGGAGGCTGTCGTGCTCTGCAGTGCAATGGCTTAAGTGATCTGCTCCTTAAATGATTCCTTCAAGATCTGTTTAAATCTGATTTAAATCTCTAAGAATTAATTTGACATGTAAATCTTACAAAAGTTCTTTCTATAGCTATGACACACAATTTCATTAGATAACTTTTTTGTTTTCATTGCTAGCCATTTGCAAGGGTTTATTTTAAATCTCAATTAGGTTTATTGTCTTGTAAGTATAATATAGTCTTGGAAAAATGGAAGCAATACTAACAAACATAATTTGAATAGCTAGGCCACTTAGTTGGCCCCTTCAATGCAAATTCTGTTAAAGCCAAACAGTAAAAGGAAAAGATAACTTTTTTTAGTGCAATATTTAATTCTCCGGGAAACAGTGTTAACAGTAGATACTACAAAATCTGTTACAGGTCGGTCCTCGCTCTTTCCGTTTGAAGATGGCTTTCTAGACGACAGTCATGGCGATCAGTCTTTATCGTCGGGTCTCAGCTCTCCAACACGCTGTCAGAATGGTGAAAGAGTGGAACGCTATTCTAGAAAGGTGTTTGTTGGAGGTCTTCCTCCTGACATTGATGAAGGTACTGTGAATAAGTTACATTGGTGAGATGCGGGAATTTGCTTTCATATAATTACTCTTAAAAGGTCAGATTTTCATAAAAAACAAATGTATTTTCCCAGCTCTGTTGCTTGTAGTGCTTGTGGCATTATTTAAACAAACACCACCACCCCTTGCAACACCTGAGAATTTACTTGGAAGTCTTTCAAACTGTACATCGGAAGA